TACCGAATAGTTGTCAGGGTCACTAATGAAACGGTCGTTTTCAAGTATATAATTGACTTTGGTGGCCCATTTATCAGCTGTAAGAAGCTCATTCATTCCATACAGGATACCCTTCGTCATATGATATTTGATGGGATAAATAAGGTGTGATTCACTTGTGAATATACGATTTGAACCTAGTCACATAAGCAAGGGCTCCTTGAGCCTTATGGAAGGCTTTAAACCTACTCAAGTCTGTTCTAGCACTTTTAATCTGATTTGAAGTTGTATTAAAATGATTGTTTGCCCCTGCCCAAAATCTTCGAATATTAACCATTAGAGACTCAGGGTGTGTCCAAGGCTCCTCAAGCAGTATATAATGCTCGAGAAGCTCTCCGGTGTGTTTAATCATTAGTTTTTATTCTGGCAATTTGCTATCTGCCCCGCCAAATGACTCCGGTACAGATGTTCGGTATTCGGTGGAACCCCTGGGTTATGTCCCTGGAGAGCATCCAGAGAGAACTGGGCAACTCCAGAGGTTCAAGGGAGTAAGCGAGACACAAGGATCCAGGGAAGATTTGATGAGAGAATACGCTTTAGCAGCGGTCTCCGGAGACTAGTAGAAGTCTCCGGAGACACACGGTAGCTTGCTGATGTAAACTGATTCGTTGTTAAACTAAAACTTCCGGTTCCTGTTGATGGTTTGTGGTTTCAGTTGTAATCATACTTATATAATTGGATTGATTTGCGCCCTTTTGACTATTATACAGAGGGTACGCTAGTTGCTCACTTGTTTATCCTGACTAGTCCTGTATTGCTCCGGACTGCTCCAGCTGGCACTGAGATAGATTAATTGCCCTGATGCCTCTTGACTTTGTGAGATCGGGTCCTTTGCAACCTGTCTCATGCCCGATGTACTACTTCCTATATGTCGGTGCCTCATTCTCTCCTGACATACACCTATTCACGGTACCAACCTCTGGTATTCACAATTCCCCCATGAGATTACCAAATATCACAGAGACGACGATCTCTACTGCCTCCATAGCACTCGCAGCTGCACTTTTAGCATTGGTCTATTCAACACTGTGATCCTTCACCTAATACTAAAATAATACGCTATTTAAACAGCCTAACTAACCCTAATACAGTATACGGAAAAGAACAAATCCCCCACTATCTTCCTTAGCACTCGCGATTGTCCTATACATCCTGCTCTCTCCCCTTTCCTAATCCATCGCTACAGGTAGTTCCGGCTCCTCTTCTTCCTACTCCCCTCCTCCTCGGTGTCAATGCCGCGAGGTTGGGCATTAATCACTTTGTACTGGGTACTGTTGGAACCAACCCGCCCTCTTGAAGCACTCGTGGGTGTTCTCTGAGCATCTCGGAATGTGGCAAGATCCGCAGCCATCGCTTCATCGTCCTCGCTAAAGCCCTCCTCCGGTATGGCCTCAATGGTTACCCCCTTTTTGTCTCGTATCTATTAGGTTCATCATTTAGAATACCACTCGCATTACCGGCATTTAGAAGTATCATACCTTTTCTCGAAAGTAATCTTTGATTACCTCCTAGGTGGGGTCCTGGTTCTGTTTATTTCTCACCTTCTAAGTGTTGCTCATCCTGTTGAACGTTTCTACTAGAGTTTGAATATCGGCTCTGCAATCCCGTATAGCCCTAATAGCTTCCGGCATTGCTCCCAAGTCACTCGCCACATCAATTACGGCATCGGGCCATACTTACTCACAACACTCTCATTCTTTGACTGAAAATTATCAGGCTTCAAGTAACTCACTGTGGACTCCGCCCGATTTCCATGCTACATCGCCGTCGATATCAGGAAAGTAAGGGTAGGGGTTATGCGGTCAAGGAATTCTGATCCCTAACCCCTAGCAGTCTTACCCCATCGAAGTATTTAAAATACAATATATCGATAATCCCTGTAACGATTGCTCACAGAGTGCTTGCCAATTACCTCGCTACGCGGTAAAGAACGATATGTCCGGTACGTGGGAGACGACCTTCCGTTTAAGAGTTCACGAAGGAAAACTCCATATAGTGCATAGAAGAGGTTTACTCATGTAGATAAATAAGTGCAGAGGGCCTAGACTGTGAGGTGTTGGGGGTGCTTTTTGGGATGCCGGGAGTGCCCCTTAGCATGCATTCTGACTGGGTGCTAGAGTGGGTGCTGCTCTCCTTTGTTTACGTATTACTTTCGCGAGCCGACGAGTTCCTCTCTAAATCGTTAACCACTAATACTAACATGTTGAAAACATCGAGGGGTGAGATAGAGTTGAACGTGTACCACGTCCACCGATAAGTCGGAAGAAGTAATTACCTCCGCTACCACTGCAGTTGGTTTCCTTTGAGCGTTGCCCAGTGCTCTGGCAGTGGTTGGTTGAACTGTATAAGGTCTCTTTCCGACAGTTTAAGACCTCTGGATGGAAGACTAAGGGGAGGGCTTGAGGTTCATCAACGGTTCATCCCCATCCTCCTAAGAGCTCTCATGGTTGTTCTCCAGAGTATCATAATAGTCTGAGTGGCTAGTATCAATTTTTCCTTCCACCTCAGGTACCTAAATACCTCAGGCTCCTCTTGTGCTTCAAAATTGTCAGTATGATCCTCGGGGAGATGAAATTCTACACTGCGAGGACTGCTCCTCCCAGTGGATTTTCGGAAGAACCGAGCAGACCTTTCCGAGTTATTTGGGTAACGGTTATCGATTGACTAGTCCGAGTGCAGGCTGGCAGTGGGGTCAATGGTCGGTAAGACATCTCACACTCATCAGTGTCTCCATCTTCTTCAATCGTGTTGGGAGTAATGGGCGCTTTGGGACAGGAGGTGCTGTACTGCAGGATTACTTGGAGGGAAGCATTTTGATGACTGGTAGGAATATCCGCGGTGCTCTAGAAGCACTCGCAATATCTTCAATTAGAAATCAATTCTTGGCGAGTAAATTTGCACTGCCAATCCTCTTACGGCAGGGGTTCTCCGGTGTTACCATTATTTCCACACTCAACCAAATCATTTATTATAACTCATTTTACTGTACTTTCTGAAGCCGTACCGACTGCTCTGAGAGCAATCTAGAAGTTTGATTCGACTTTGAAATAATAGTAATGCAATTACTACCTCCACTAATCTAGCGACAACATATAGTTCAGCTCTATTCTATCGTTTGATTCCTGGAGGACTACCCTTGAGTAGATGTAGTAATATCGGGGTATGTATTGTTCATTGTATGGGGCGTGTTCTGCGAATATAAAGAATGGTTCATTGTTCAGTTGGATTTGTTCAATGATAGTAGATTGAGTTGATTGAGCTTGTTAGTTTTCGGCGAAATGTGGGGGGACAAAAATTCCCGTGGGTAGGAATCTCACAAAGCAGTAGTTCAGGACGCTTTGTTGGGACATGACGGATATCCTGGATCGGTTGGTGCAGGACAGACTTGTAAAAGTCTTCTTTTCCTGCCTGCAGTGCTCGGTGGTGTAGAGGGGCATCAGGGGTTGTGTAAGCCAGGTTATGAGTGATTTGCTACGGTTACGAAGATTGTTTCCCTTTGTTAAACAAGTGGTTTGGGAGGGATAAGAGTTCACAATTCAGGGACCATATGTCAATATCTTGCCGTACAAATAAATATGCGATAAGATTTTAGTATATTCTGCGGTCTACTGACACACAGGATCGTGTTTGCAAAAAATTTTATCGGTGTTATTAGGCTTGTAAGTTGTTAAAATCATATATCAGAATTTAGTTTATGAGTATATTTGAAAATTTTCTTTAGATTTCAGGGTTAGCGGCTCTCAGACAAAACTAAGATGTTTCAAAAGAATTCCGTTTGTGGGTCGGAAAAAATAATCCAGTAAGATACCAAAAGTTATCCATTGGCTTAAAATTTTGAGCAACCCTAACAAGAGTATATGTAAAACCAGACTGCAACAATACACAATATGGAATGTCGGTCATGGATCGTCACTCACATATTGGGTTTCGAGTATTGCGAATATCATGGTCCGAGACTGAAATCTGAATTACTGTTAGAAAACACACCCGGGCGGTAAGCTGGAGACCAGAATCCGAGTCGGTGCAATAAAACACACCGGAGTCGAGGAGTCACGGTGGGATTCGTCCGATGCGGTAACCCAGAGGTCGGAATCCGAAATTCATGTATTCCATCGAAGCGGAGGATGTGGAAACTCGGCATCGTTAAATTTCGAGCTCCGTCATGATCGTGGGCTTGTGGCGGTGCAATCGGTACCATGCAGGCATCGATCGTGGTACCCGACCGGTGAGTGACGGCGCCGGAAGTGCTCCAGGACAGGCCGCCAAGACTCACAGGGAGTTACCCTACCCAACAGCCCCCAACCAACACCTACACCCCTGCCATCACGACCACGACCTCCGTACCTACATACTTGACGATGGTGATGGACTCGAGGCGGCCTATTTAATCGGTAGGCAAGGAATCGGGAATTGTGGGGCGACGATTCCGGGCAACCTCGAAATCCGGTCCGAGATTGCCCTACCAGACTGCAACAATACACAATATGGAATGTCGGTCATGGATCGTCACTCACATATTGGGTTTCAAGTATTGCGAATATCATGATCCGAGATTGAAATCCGAATTACTGTTAGAAAACACACCCGGGCGGTAAGCTGGAGATCAGAATCCGAGTCGGTATAATAAAACAAAGCGGAATCGAGGAGTGGGATTCGCCCGATTCGGCCGCCAAGACCAGAGGGAGTTACCCTACCCAACAGCCCCCAACCACCACCCACGCCCCTGCCATCACGTCCACGACCCCCTGTACCCACATACCTGACGATGGGGGTGGACTCGGGGCGTCCTGTTCGACCCATAGCCACGGAATCGGGAATTGTAGGGCGACGGTTCTTGGCCAACCTCGAAATCCGGTCTGAGATTGCGCTACCAGATTATTCAAGCACACTCGTTGGAGCAATGTAGAGCTATATTGAATAAGCACAACCTCGGCCCGACTCTCCAAGTCGAATGGGCCATTATGCGCGAAGGCGAGGGACCTAGTCCATTCCTCGACTTAGATATCGATATCTTAACTGGAGAGACCCGCGTGGACTATAAACTCTTCAGAAAACCCTTCAATCACTTCATGCGCATACCATGGGAAAGCTCACATCCGATCATCGTAAAACGTGCCAGATTTCAAGGAGAGCTAACCCGGATAGCCACCTGCTCGTCTCGGAAGGAATTCTACAAAACGGCAGTAGCAGAGTACGTGGAACTACTCACCGCGCGTGGCTATCCTCGTCAAGTGTTACATTCTTGGACACAAAATGAAGTCGAAAAGAGATGGGGCCTCGCCAAAGATAAAAAAGAATCTGAACCACAAAGGCTCGCCCCGATAATCTTCAAGACGGAATACAATGACGTATGGAATGGAGTTGACATTAACAGTGTCAAGGCTACGATACTGGAGACATGGAATGAGCTGACAGCGACGGATACCACCGATCGCAAATTCGCAGAAGCCATCCGTGTTCAAAGGTTCATAATATCGTACAAGAGAACACGTAACCTCCAAGACGACGTGTCTATTCTTAACGCCAAACTTTCTCGAATGCACATAGATGACTTCAGAGAAATTGTTGATCGGGGTGCAAACGACCTCGCAGACCTATTCGTTGCTCAAAGCCGGGAGGACGATAGGTTAACTGATGAAGACGATATAATGTACCAACCTCTAGTACCCTTTCGCGAGGCGAACGACAGTGGAGCTGAATAAACGTCATGACCGTGAAAAGAGTTACACAACGAACAGGCTATGGCTGTTCTAATGAGTAACGAGATGCGGAGCCTAAACCGTTGGAACCCCTCACAGGGTAACAAGTAAAAATGGCACTGCGTAGGAGAGACTCGTAACCCCCGTTAGTGGGACGATGGATATCTCTAGGACATGATTAGTCACTCAGTTTTAACGTTATGTTAGAATCGGATGTTGACCAAATCCAATCCAATAGCCTTGAGCTACGGAAAGGAAGGCAACTAGATGCTCTGGACTACGGTGTTCGAAACACGGTCCCCTTCGGGGGGTTACTTAATAGTAGCACCAGGCTCGAAACCCTAACCTAACCCTAACCCTAGGCTAACCCTAATTGAGTAAGTGTACCCACACTATTCTATTTACGGGCAGTTTAGTAATACGCTATATTTGTAATGAGGTGTACTCCCACCCTTGCAAGCGGGAAAATAGAATGCCCGACTCCGACCCGGAGTCGGGGCAATACTATCCCGCGTCTTGGCGCGATCTTATGTATATAAGCGCACCATCGCTACTGCCCTGAAGAGCATCATCATACAGTGAAACAGTAACTGAGTACCCAAATACCTTTACTGTCGGCACTATCTTGCAGCTCTTTTCGAGATCTTTGTTCCTCATTTACCTAACCCTAACTAACCCTAAGTTCACCCCATCAGAAAGGAGTATAATAGCTACCGTACGGCGGGTCTGTCAGCGTCACTATCAATCCAATACCTGCCGTACTGTAGCTGAGAAGCGTCAATAGCATGTCAAATAGCTGCTGTACAGCGTGACTGACAAGGTTTGCACATACAAGATTTGACCCTAACCTGGCCCTAACCCGAAGTTGACCCTACCAGAAAGAGGTATAATTTCTGACTTGTTAGTTGAGTCGGTGCACAATTTGTTGCCTACCTTCCATCAATACAGGGTAATTTGGTCCACGATTTGGCACCAAGTAAATGTCAATTAAACCCCCATTCTACACCGATGTGTGACTCGATTTGGCAATTGATTTGATTCCTGCAGCGGTGTTCGTAAAGTTGTCTAAATCCAGTAGTGGATGCTAGGAGGAGGTGGTAATCAAGGTAGCAGGTAAGGTACCGGCAGCTGACGTATGAAGGGGGAATCTTCAGAGTATAATCTGTCAAATTTGATATCATTCACCACTGCCCAAGGAATCAGAACCAGGTTACAGTATATATGATATTTCAGATTACCCGAATAACCAAAGAATGATTGGTAATCTCAGAGATTATTCAACCATGGTAGGTGAAAATGACAAGGAGCATGTAGAGCCCAGATTAGTGGGATTAATGCACCGTTGACAGCTAATTATATATGACTCCATTGTTTTTTACTGATGTAGATTTGTTGGCGGTGAGGTGGTGGTGCAAGCTCGGGCTATGGATGTTTAGGCTGTGGAGGTGAGAGTTATACCTGAGAAAGTAGTGAAACCTTGCAAATTTGCTTTCAGTCGTGATGCAATGATTCCATACAGGTAGAATAAATGCCTCACGACGCTTGTTCTAGGAGGCAAAAGGAAAACAACCGTACGTCCCCTTTATATCAAAGGAGAAGTGGGTGAAGAGGACTGTACGGCACGTAGAATTGCATACTATAAGGGTGTCCGTGTTTTTGGGGATGGAGGGGGCTAACCTTAACCCTAAGTTCACCCCATCAGAAATGAGTATAATTACCATCATTTCGAACTGGATCTTTAGCTGGTAAGGTCGAACGTCGAAGTAGAAGTCATGTTGCGCCAATTGAACAGAAAGTCGAGCACTTGGACAGAAAGTCGAGCACTTGGACAGAAAGTCCTGCACCTCTTATTGGCTGATTCCTTGCAAGTCTTTGCCTAAAATAGATAGAACTTCTGTCCAACCTGTCCGACTTTCTGTTCAACTGGAACAGGTAAAACTCTCTAATGAGGAGACTGGGTGTGTCAAGTGGGTGCATGTAGGTACGTGGCACCCAGAACTGCAGATCGATATATGATTCCGCCCACGAAGGTGTGCATACATGTATGTACTATACTCTAGAGAAGTACATGCATGTAGATAATGTAGCAAGTAGATGGAGACGTACTACTTTGTTTTCAAACCAAATTTAAAGTGAAATTTGGCTAAACTAGAAGTGTAAAGGAAATTATATTAAAGTAGCAAAAGAACAACACACGGAACGGAAATTTTTTTTTAAAATAGCGACTCACTCATAAAGATATAAGACATAAAAAAGGCATATTCGGAATCAGCAGACCTAGGGCTATCTCACTATCCCAGAAAAATTCATAACCTTTGATTTCTACAAAACTTCACTATTTTTAACCGGGTTTGTGGCGGATAGTATGCCCAAAAATCCCGATTTTCGGGTTTTTCAACAACTCAACAACCAAGCCAGCTACAGAGAATCTGAAGGCATACCTGGAATCAGGGAGGTATTATCTTTCAGTTAAGCTAATTATTATTGATACTAGGGATAAAACTCACCCTTATCATCCCCTACCCTCTGGACCACTCCCCCCCATAGGAGGACATTACTGTTAGCGCATCATTGTCTTGGCACGCTTGGTGCCACCAGGAAGGTTACACAAAGACGATAAGAAAATAGCATTGTGAAGGAAAAAAGCATTGTTTAGAAAGGAGCAGGGACCAAACAAAAAGCAATCACCATAGTAACCAATAGAACAACCAAAACCAATCCAATATGCAACCACAACAGTTCGTATATGTCGTAACAGGGCTCGGAAAACAAGTACTACGACTAGTCGAAAATCACGAAAGCAAGGGCATTAGAATCCTGATGGACGACGAAGAAATCGGTAAGATAAGCACGGTATACCAAAGACAGTCAACAGGCCAGTACGACCCAGTATAACTCAAATAGATGAATGGAGACCTCCATACCCCGAAAGCGATCTGGGAACAGTATGAGGCAGAGGCGGCAACGATGCGACATATCCATGAATTCTCCAACTTCGAAGGCACACCAAAGCCGGAAGAAAACAAGCAGGTGGAAATTAAAGTAGAAGAAGAAAATGAGAAAATGATCGATGGAGAGGAGGGAGATAACGACTATCCAAAGGAGGTCAGGACAGTCAAAAAAGGGAAAGGAAAGGTGACTGAAAGCGACATCAAGCGGTCGAAGAATCAGAGATGGAATAGACGAAACTCGACTCATACGACAGGATTGAGATTGTGGTAGAAGCTATTCAAGAATATAGGGTCAGTATCATGAACGAGACGGCGTACGAAAATCCGGATATCGATATGGAAACTGCAAAGGACATGGTGGACGTCCCAGGAGACCAGGATGCAGCTATGATGTATAAGGCAGCAATGAATATTATGGAAGAAGTAGGGGGGAAAAAGAGAAAGAGGCACGAAGAAGATTAGAGCCACAGAGAAGAGTTTTGGGACGCGTGAATGAACCCGAGAAAGATTATACAACCAATAAAAAAACATATTATCGAAAAATTGGTTACGGGATTAAGCTCAAGTAAATGGGCTACGATAGGCAAGAAGGAAATTCGAGAAGGCCTGATGGCATTCAGACATGCACTAATACGCACCAGAGAAGAGTGAGGCCCAACAGGAACGAAACAGCTCATGCCTATTAGGATAAGCAGTCAGAGCTCGAGAAGGAGCAACCCAGCATTGGAAGAGCTCAAGAAAGAAAAGATGCCTGACTGGGCAATGGCAATGATCGATACCTTTAAAGGGCTACAAAAGAAAGTGGCTAGAGTAGAACGTGAAAAGCTAGCAGCAGTACGAGTAAATGAGCGAAAAGGGGCAAAGATCGAAGGACCCGCCAGGGAAAATAGGAGAGCAGACAACAATAGGAAGAATCAAGCCGAAAGGGCAACCGAGAATAAAAACGAGCACAGGAGTACTATTGACGAAGTGCACGGATGAGCTGCCAGTGGTGTAAATACCACCTCTATTGGCAAAAACAAATCCGAACTGAGCACACCCAAAAAGGACGAGGAAGATTGGAAGAAAATAAGGGAAGACTGCAGGAAAAGCAGGTAGAACGTATCGCAGAATAGATAGAGAAAGCGAGAAGGAAAGAGATCATTGTGGAGGTCAAAAAAAGTGACCCAAACGAAGCAAGCAGTGAACAGCAACCCCCAAAAACAGCAGAAGAGTTCACACAGGGGCTAGGACTGGATAAGGAACAGGCCGCCAAAACCATGAAAATCTCGGACGAAACCGGAACACCGAAAACCTTGAGATTGGTCTCCAAGAGCGAGGAAGCGGCGGAAAAGGCACTGCAAGAAAAGAAAGTGGATGCAGAATTGGGGAAAAAGCTTGGGATGAAAAGAAAGGAAGAAAACTGGGCAGGTATAGTTGTGTATGCGGTCGACACTCAGTGGGAAGGCAAATTCGAAGAACTTAAGAGCCACAGTGAAAAAGAGAATAACATCACGCTTACCAAAACCCCCCATTGGTTGTCTAAGGGGTATACAAGAAAAACAGGCAAGCTAAACATGGTGATCCATGTGGCGACAAGAAAGGCGAGCGAAGCAATACGAGGAATCAAACTGGCAGACAGATATACCTACAACACCAAAGATATCAAAGAGCACCACACAAGAGAATATATCACCAGAGGAGCGGCGAAGGAACTACAATACTCAACATGCTGCAAGTTTGGGCATTGTTGTACAATGTGCTGAGTGAAAAGGGAAATATATGGCATATGTGGGAAAGAAGGCCATCGGACGGATCAATATAAGTACGATGACGAAATATGCATTTTGAAAGATTGTTGTGAAAACCACAAACAGTTCTTGAAGTGTGCAAACTGCAAGGGACTCCATGGAGCCCGATCCAAGTGGTGCAGAGAACGGGAGAATTAGTTTATGATGTCGATAGGGATGGAGCCGGAGAAGAAGGCAAACAGAGGAGGCGAATCTAGCGCCGCAAAAGAGACCAAAAATATCATCAATGCCTAATTCCTTCATCATTATAAAGGACAACTGCAATGCGCCCACCAACGTAATGCAGAGGCTGATGGAAAGTGGTGGAAGGGCAAATATAACAGCAATACAAGAACCATATATAGGAAAGGCAAGAGCAAAAAGAATAATAGAAGGGGTAGTGGAATTAGGAAATGGGGAAATCACTGTTGGAAGCAGCAACCTAAATATAGTATACAGACCCGGAAAGGACGGAGAAAAAAGCTGAGTGATGTGGATGGTGAGAAAGGATAAAGTCATTAGATATGCAGTGAGAGATGACCTATAGAAGGATTGGGACACAAGTGTCATCGATATACTGACGAAAGACAACCAAACAGCACTTCGAATTATAAATATCTACAACCAGACACAGAGCAGCTGGGAAGGATGTTGTGTAAGAACAATACCTGCCAACATTTGCGAACGGCAGCTAACGATAATCCTGGGGGACTTCAATGCGAAAGGGAAGCTTTAGGATTCAGTATCGGAACCAGTCAGATAGGACGAAGTTTTAGATATGGTAGAAAACCACAGCTTCACGCTCCTCAATACACCAGATGTAACAACGTCGCAAAGAGGGAACTGAAAGTCCGTATTGGACCTGGCATGGGACAGCAACAGCATTCATCTCCTCACTAAGTGTCAAGTGGTGCAAATGGAGGATACTGGATCAGATCACGCGCTTATAAAATCACAAATCGGCAAAGCGAATCTGGAAGAGACATATAACCCCCTCAAAAGCCAGTATAACTTCAGAAAAGCAGACTGGAAAAGGCAATAGACACAGCCAGAGGACAACAGTTGAGATTGAAGGAGGAGTGGAAAAGGGCCCAAGATAATTACGATGCGGACGACATGTCAAAAGTTATAGAAATAATCATCCTAGCGGGAATCGAAGAAGGTGTCCCATAGACAAGGAGGGGCTGGAGAACAAGTAATGGTTCCACCACATGGTAAAAGAAAAAGGAAAAGAAATGGCGAAATGCCACAGATAGTGCAGGGCGGAAGAAACAGAAAGTGAGGAATCGGAAACAATAAAAGTTGAGTGGAAGTTGAAAAGAAATGATTATTTCCGGGAAATAAGAAAGAAAAAGAAAGAATGTTGGGATAAGTTCATTGGCGAGGCACATGCAACGACTTATGGGAAGTTTGGAGACTACTCTGTAAGAAACGATAAGCCAAAATGCCCACTATCGAGCACGAAAACTTAACTGCAGTTACATTCAAAGAAAAGGAAAAGATCTTTATACAACAGCTCTTTCCTAAAGCGCCAAAAGATACAGATATTGTCATAATTTCATCCCAATATGATGAACAACCCAAATATACTCTGACAGAGGAGGAAGTAGTGGCAGCGATCTGGAAACACGGAGCCTATAAAGCACCTGGCCCGGAGGGCATATGCTTTATCGCGCTGAAAGAACTCTGGTGAGAAGTTAAACATATGATAACGGAAGCATACCAATTAGCACTCAACCAAGGCTATCACCTGACCATATAGAAGAAAGCCATGGGTGCAATCATCCCCAAACCAGGAAAGACAGATTATTCGAAGGCCAAGGCACACAGACCAATTTTACTATTAAATACATTAGGAAAAGGATTGGATATCGCCCAAGCTTTCCCGAAATTAAACAAAGCAAAATTGTCAAACATCGTATACAAACAGGGAGGCGACAAGATATTGATGCGATGGGTATACAGCTTCATGAACGACAGAAGAGTCAACTTAAGATTTGACGGAGAGATGGGACAAGAGTATACAGTAGAAACAGGAATACCGCAAGGAAGTCCTGCATCACCGATCCTTTTCAACCTTTATATCGCCCCCCTTATCAAAGAAGTCAACAAATTAGTTGAACAGGAATTCAAAGGAAAAGCAAGCACACCCACCTTCATCGACGACTTTACAATTGCGGTTGCCGGCAAGGACTGGGGACAAACAATAGCGAGGGCAGAGAGGATGATATAAGTCACCTATAAATGGGCAGAAGATAATCACGTTAGATTCGAGGAGGACAAGATGGAGTGGATCAGGCTGTGAAAAGATAATGAAGAATAGGAAGAAATAGAAATACTAGGAGGAGGGGGGAAAGGCGAAAAACAGGAGCTAAAATGGTTAAGCGTCTAAATAGACAATAAGTTGACATTCAAGAACCATGTAAGGGAAAAAACGGCTAGGGCATTCAGAGCAGCACAGAGTGTGATAAGCTTAGGAAAAGGAACAAGAGAAATTGGGGTCGGAAATACGAGAAAGTTCTACATTGCATGTTCCAGGCAAATTGCGGAATATGGGGGAAAGGTGTGGTGGAAAGGACAAAAGTGTCTTGCGGCGAAAATCGATAAAGTCAATACACAAGCAATGAGAAGGATTGGAGGACACTTTAAATCAGCCTCCACAGCCGCGATAGAGGTGGAGAATGATATGATACCCACAGAACATAGATTCAACCATAAGGAACGAATGCAGGCAATAAAAGGACTAAAACGTTCACCAAACCACCCCACTTATAAGGCAGTCAAAAATGAGATCAGCGAACTCATTGAAGAAGAAGACACATGTTGGGCAGGGAGAAGAAGAGGGCAAGGAAGGAGGGGGGGAGCAAAAGGAGAAGTTAAAAACCTGGCAAAGATCGTAGGAAAGGACTGGAAGAAAATTGAGAGCTGGAAGAACTACCACGACAAGGAAAGAAAATGGGAAAAAAAGGCATGGGAAGAGATCGAGATAGATATCAGGCCGTATGATGAAAAAGAAATAGAGAAAAAGAGGCAGGAAGAAAGGAGAGAACAGGAAGGAGAGATCGTCATGTATAGTGATGGTAGTAAGACAAAAGAGGGTGTAGCAGTGGGGGTATGCAGAATAGGAAACGACGGAGGAGTATTGAGGAAGATTGGTTACAGACTGGGGAAAAAGATGGAGATTATGAATGCGGAAATGGTGGGGATCAAGAAAGCCATCGAAACCGGACTTAAAGAGTCAGCAAAGGAATGGAAGAAAACGATAACGATCAGATGCGAGAGCCAAGAGGCGATGAGATGAGTAAAACGCAAACACCAGGTGTCAGGAGTGATGATGGCCCACAAGATACGCTACTGGTACGATGCTGGAAAGACACAAAAGATCCGAGTGAGACTGGAATGGGTCAAAGGACACAGCAAAAGAAAAGGAAACCTGAAAGCAGACAAAGCAGCCAAAGAAGCCAATAACAAAGGAAGAATCGATAAAGAGTGGTTCGTTTGGTTTGCATTTCTAGAAAGAGAGTCCCGGGAGGATACAGGAAGGGAATGGGAGACAGAGTGGGAGACAAGAGCGAATAAGGAAAAGACGCTGCTCAAACCATCGCAACGAAATACTATACAGTTCGACGATACGGACCGAACCGACAGAGTCATTATCAGCCGCCTTAGAACAGGCAATATAACCATCAACAGATACCTAAAAAGAATAGGAAAGATCAAAAATGCCGAATGCGAATGCGGCAAAGGAGAGTAGAGTGTGGCCCACATATTCACTGAATGCGATGCGACAGCCGAAACCCGCAAAACCTTCAAAGAACATAACATGGTCTTCAAACTTCTTTGGAAGGCAAGCGGCATTGAAGCAGCCACAAAAATCTGGAAACAATTTGCGAGATGGAGATGTGAGAGAAACGGACAAGACGAAAATGCAGAAGAGGAGAGAAGGGAACTAGGGTACGGATGGTGGATGCTGAAAGATTCGGGAAACGAGGAATAAGATAAAAGAGGGTTCTAGAGTTTTATTTCCTGGAGGCGGAGGAGAAGGGGCAGTTTAGGAGTATTGCCATAACTGTAAAGTTGCATGCAATTAACGAATTAAACAAAAAAAAAAAAAAAAAAAGGGAACCATCATGCCGCTATTCCCCTTACCCTATTAACCTTCACTGAAACTAGAGTCTCCCAGGACTCCTACTGTAGACTAACTTGTCAGCCTCTACTACCACCTCTTGAACCTTGCGGAATACTCGCTACTCACCCCCTCGATACAATCACAATGAGCTGGCAGTGTGGTTTATGAAGCGCATGAAGGCGAGGAAGCCGAGTTGCCTCCCTATGAGGACATTTGCCTTTCGTTGCCTCGAGCCATGTACACCTACGCCTCGAGCCATCTCGATGCTGTTCGAGGTAGGTGATCTTGGAAGTGGATTCTCAACCGCTCTGATCTGGTTCGATCGACTGGGATCTAGAGTACACGAGTATCTCTGTTCTGACAGCTTGAAGAGTAGATGTATGTATTGGGTTGACTCGAGTCGATGAATCGAGGCCCTTCGGCCTTATCGAAGAGTATATCCCGCATCAGCTCGAGGTATTTGCTTCGGGGTGAGGCACGGAGTGCTTCGCCATTGTGGACCATACTATGAGCTATTATAGGCGACGGTTATCTCTCTCTCAATATAGTGAGGTGATCATAATGTTGGATGTCCTTTCCCGATAACATATTGAGCGCTCTCAACTGCTTGATCCCGGGCTGCATTATATTGACCGACCCCAAGAACCGGGATCAAATCGCTTAGCCTTTAAAGCTTTGCTTGTTCGCGAGGGGGGAAGATACCGGGAGCTGTACTAAACACCTAACAAAATCTCCAGAGATATATACAAGGAAAATTATGAAAGAAAAAAAAACATCTTATAATACGAGCCGTCGAGAATACGGTGAAATCGATGATAAGTGGCAGGGCCGAATATGCTGTATTCAGTTATTTTCTTTTTTTGAAAAAACCAGTAATGAATGTTTCATTTCTGAATGTTTCTAACATTTTCCTTCGAATCTGTGGCCCGGGGCGTATAGTAGTCGAAACCAGTCAGATGACATAGGGCATCACCAGATCATTGGTTATCACTCATGCGCTGAATTGCTAACGAACCTGAGTTGATTGATTGATAACTCATTAATTGTGTGTAGCTTGGAAGTTATGACAACATTTGACATACAAATTATGATAATGAAAATTAAAATGGATAGCATTCTCTTCCGCTGGGGCCAACATATTATCTGCTGATCGATCCTACATTCCTGTCTGCTTCTCTTTCCATTCAGCTTATCTTGCGATGTCCTTTCTATGACTCCAAGCATCTCAGCCCCTCTGAAATTATCGGACAATTTCCAGGAGCCAAATCGTAAACCGATTGCTGACTGGCCGGCGAGGCATACTGCAATTTGACTGCCCCCGGTGACTGTTGAAAGCTGAAGCTACCAACTCTTGGAGCTCTGAGACATGCTGACCAACCTACGACATACACGGCTATATGGTGTTTTGCGGGCACACGGTGCTATACATTATCTCCCAATATGCAATCGCCACTACAGTAAATCAGCCAATTTTGTTTCCCCACGAAGTGAGTGTATAACGGACTGAGCAGAGAGGACCATTATATGAGGTCACGACTATATAGTTCGTCGGGTACGCCTTGAGGAGATTCTACTCTACATTACGAGTAACTACATGCTTCTATGCATAGTGCAGATATTAACCCCGAGCTCCCCTGAAATCTAGCCTAGAGGCACATAACGCCACTGGCTGTGTTTATAAATAGTACTTTCAGCATGGCTAATCTACTTGTTCTGAGTGGTGCAGACTGGCTTACTCGAGTTAGAGAAGGGTTAGGTTTTCGCCATACTAGAAGCGGGGTACAGCTACATAGGACAACTCATGCTCGTTGAGCCTTTTCTCATAAAATATCTCACGCATCGCCCACCCCAGATCACCTCCTTCCCAAAGCAACGGCACGCACAACTGCTATTATTCCCGGCTTACTTCAGACTTCAAGTTTGTAATCAATCCATCCGCCTTATATGGAGGTCTACTATTTCCACATGTAGCCAAGAGAGTTATACAACGAAATAAGCTAATCCCCGATGGTGTAAGCAGCTCAGGCTTTAGGGGAGGCAGGTTCTTTAGTCGGATTCGAACAAACATACAGCGTTACATCTTGTTAATACCACCAATTGGGCTGGTATAAGTCAAGTACATACATGTAGGTATATTGAACTACATACCTTTTACATCAATAACTCCCCTTGAATTCGCAGCGCGCAAATGCTTACCCCACTTAGATCAGTCCTTTATCCCAACATGCATATACAACGCCCCCGCTTCGAGTTAGTACTTCATTCACCATCATTCTAGCGGTTGCCCAAGCCACACTCTCACTCCCCGCCCATGCGGCCCATTCTCCACCATTGAAAAGGGAACCACCATACCGAGCCGAGCCGCAAGGTCGGGGGACAATGGGTCTTATTCTAAGTTGTTTGATTACCCTCACCCTTTGCGTCTGGACAGCTATCCATCTAAACATCAACGTCGACCCTTCCCCCGGCAAGAAACTACGTCGGAAAGCACTTTGGCTGTTTATCGGGCTTTTTGCCCCTGAACTAGTCCTTTGGGCAGCTTTTGAACAATGGCGAAATGCGCGCGCGATTTTACGGTTTCTGAAGAATGAAAGCATGGCCGCTACAGATGAGGAGAATGGCCAGTGCCTCGAGTTCAAGAAAGATTCTGTTGAGGAAGACTTTGGCCTCGAAAGTGCATTTTTCGCGGTGATGGGAGGATATACGTTGGGTCCTTGGAAAACCTCTCGCGGCGGTCTTCTCACTCTAACGCCTAAAGGATTGATATATCTTCTCTCCGAAGGAATGATAATCCCATCTGACCTGGCGAAACTCAAAGGGGACATCTTGGACAAAGGAAAAGCTGATTTCCTGTCGAAATTCGTGGTTTGCGCTCAGGCTCTGTGGATGGTGGTCCAGTGTATCTTCCGGAAGTGTGTTGGGCTGCCCACCACTTTCATCGAGCTGAACGTTGTAATACACGTTATCTGCACAGTTGCCATGTACGGATTCTGGTGGGAGAAACCTCTTGACGTTGGTCAGCCATTAACCCTTCGTGCGGTTGACCGAGGGTTTTGTGCTCTCGCGTATGCCAGTTCCCATCAATACCTAAAGATACGCCTCTCCGAAAGGTCCCCCGGCCCGGAGCTTGTTCCCATGGCCGCTCACGAGCAGTCAGATGGTCTCCCCTCGTCATCACGCGTGGTTGGTCCCCCCTGCTCAAAGATCCCGAATAATAATACGGATTTGTCAGTCACTGGTTCGCCCTACTCGTTGGAGAAAGACATCGACACAGTCCTCAACAAAATAATCAGGAGGGAGAGGAAGGCTGACGGGCAAGTGATGATCTTTCGGGGCCAATACCTCGTACATAGCGAGAAGGGATTTCGCTTGACAATTGAAGGAAGAGAGATGTTCCATGTGAATAATACAGAGTTGGAGATCTTTGCTGCGGCTGCTGATGCACTACGTACACCAAATTTTCAACACCTCGGCGTCCGCGATTTTTCCTCTCATAGTTATCCTCTTGGCATCAAGATTGGTGAGGGTACGCTGTTCGTTGAGGAAAGTAACAATCTAGAAGTCAGAGGCAGCGTAGCTCAGGCCAAGTCCGGCCTGGCCCACCCGATCATGATATTGGGCTATCTTAGTTCGTCCCACGGCGCCTCCCACGCCAGTGTCTGGAACGGTTCCTTCCCCTCGCAAGCCGAGTTGTGGCTTTGGCGTCTTTCATGCATATTTGTTGGAGTTGTTGCCCCGATCTGCGCAATCCAGCAAAGTCTTTTGGAATATTACAAGACTCACAACTCACGACTGAACGTTGGTGGGAAATGGCTTGTTCGGTTTAACAAATGGACGGACGATATAGACCAGCATTGGCTGGGAAGTTTGTTTTTGCTCTTCTTCTACAGCTTCAACCTTTTATTTATAGCAGGATTGAGCATTGGGTATGTCATGGCAAGGTTATACTTCGTTATCGAATCCTTCGTCAGTGTGCGATGCCTTCCTTTGGGGGCATACGAGACACATAGGTGGGAGAAACTTTGGCCCCATCTTTGATTTCAGCTTTTAGGTGTGTAAACGGTGAAATAATCCAACAACGATTATTTTCAACCGCAACTCAAGAGGCTTCACTTATATCATTTTCGGTATTTCTTGTATCATGGCCTTCAGTGTTATGAGTTCAGTGATATATAGTGGTCCATTTTATCAAAGATAGTTTGTATTTTGTGAAATAGGGTATCGTTCTCTGAAATACCCTCGACTAGTCAGAAAATCCCCCCATTGCCTATACAACGTTTTAGCAATGATGAGTGGCACCCATCTGTGAGAAGATTTATTGGTAATTAACATTCAAAGTTCAAATTTAACCTCTCAGCGAGCTAGCCCCATCAATAAAGACACTAAATGGTTAACTGTCATAGACGATCACTCGAGACCCCTTAGATTCCACACAGAATGGATAAACATATCTCTAGTGTTCTTTCAATATGATTCGGGTTGCCATCCAAGGAGCTAACTCTACCAACTATTAAAATGAATCAAAAAATGCATCTTATACTCACGTAAAACTTTGGTGTGAAATGGATCATCGGAAATGTGTTTATTAAGTGAACTGTCTTTACCAAGGAAATGAATCTTTTTACTATGGGGAAATGAATCCGGAAATGAATCTTAAGTCTCATATGTTACTTTAATAAACACATCACCACTAATCGAAGACTTATATATACATTATATAAACGATACAAATAAAAAAAATAAAAAAGACTTATTCAGGGATTGAACCTAGAGAACAGCGATTACACAGTCCATATCCTATCGCCTACGCCATTGATTGATATATTAAACTCTATACGTTCCCCATAAACCGTGTCTATTGTAGAAAAGTCACAGAAAACGCATAAGAAAAGGCATCGGAAAAGGCATCAGAAAAGGCATCAAAAAGGGAATAAGAAAAGGCATCAGGAAACTTAAAACACATTTTGGGATGATGACGCATCCTTGTCCAGAATAGGTAGTACATAAGGGGAGTTGGATCAAGAAAAGTGATTTTCGGCTTTGGAAATGAATGTTTTATGCCTTTTCCACAAGCGTCCCAAAATTCGCTTGGTGGGAAACGAATCAAACGATTCATTTCCATGGCTGGTAGAGTAAGCTTTGTAATTTTATAACAATAATGTTGTTTATACTCTATAACTATCACTATTTTTCGCCTATTTTATTATCATGATCACTACTATCATGCGTCTCGTTAAACCGGCAACGACTTTCAACAACGAACATTTGAAGATCTTGGTTAAAGCTGCATAGACTGTACCTTAAACTGTGAGCCCAAATGGTAATTAGAGAAAACTAAAACAAAGCGCAAACTGTGAACCCTTGAACGCAATGTTTCTGTGCAAGTCTGTGTTACAACATGCAATACAAACAAAAACAATGGGTGAAACCCTGTACTTGTACTGTAGATTGAGTGCTCCGCCATAAGTGAAAGGTTGCATGCGAGTATGAATTAAACAAAAAAAAAGAAAAAAGAAAGGAAAAAAAAAGAAGAAAAAACAATGTAATGGTTTCCCTTGTTATTGCGCTTATATGTGTGCCCTACATGACGATTTTCAAACAGCTTTGGGTTCCACAAATTACAATTCGGGCTGGCGGTTTAAAAGATCATGATAGGTTGGGAACATTTGGTATGAGGGACGGTGAAGTGTAGAGATATGGAGTTCTTTTGTATGAACGCAGTAACGTCGAGTGTGTACTCCTCCAGATACGAACGTGCTTCATTCTGGAACGCAATCCAATACCGGAGTGTCCGCGAATTGGGGTCAATAGAAGCTTCCCATTCAACACTAGTATATCAGTCATTCCTTTGAGATACCTTTAATATTAGGCCAGAGCTCAGTCTGTGAATCGATATAATGACCGACATGAGAGGTGATTGATTATCGCGAGCACTGCATAATTTAATAGATTACGCCTCGATATTTTATAAAAAGCCCTCCCCAAGCGGTTCTAAGCTGGTCGGCATATTTACCAATCTTCGGATCGCGGGATGGATGCTCTTGACTATCTATGGATTGGCTATAGATATTGGAGACCTACACGCATGCATTTATGTTTCCAGAATCATAAACACTACCATTAACAGGGCTTAGTACCTCTGTCCGGTATAATAATGCGTTCCTCAACGGACACTAAAATAATACCTTATTCATGGATATAGTATCTCATCTACGATCATTCTCGAATGGGGTGTGTTCATACCTGAGAGAGTAAAAGTGTGATATATAGAAGAAATCATCGGGGCCCAGAAAACCTTGACCTATATTATGTTCCATGTGAGATAATCACTAACACTTTCACAAGGTTTCGCATAAGGCTGCTTTTACTATCCAGATTGAAGTACATACATAGTTTGGCTCCCAGACTCGCAACAGTCTATAATAGTGGTGGCCATTGATGGCTTAGCACAATGACGACACAGTATTTGGCCTTTTCCATAACTCCACTAATCCCTGAAGTAAACTTCAGGGCATTACTCATTATGAGCGAGAGGACTCGCACTGAAACTCAAGCTCCATCATCCTCCTCCGACCTCGATCCGCCCTCACTCTCCCACGGCTATCTCCTACATTCCAGCTTTTGTTGATGTTGAGATTAGGAGTCAGGCACGCAACAGCTAAGTACATGCTCTAACTAAGTAAGTACCTGCTCTCCTCTAACTACCCGCTACCCTCCGCGAAGTCATCTCTGGTAGGTGACCAGTGGCTTTTCTCAGCACCAGCCACATCCCTCCTCTCCAGGTCCACTGTGGCGCCTCCGAGCACCCCTGTCGCTCTCCGGATTAATCTCGAAGAGCCAATCGGGTTCCTCGCAGCTCCCGGAGTGGTATGATCATCGCGGCGCTGTCCGACGGTACGTCAGGCGGATAACGATCTGTCCGTAGATATGCATACACAACGTGTTTCGCCTCTTGGAAGCTTACTACCCAGCTGTCCAGCAGACATAGGGCGCCCCACGTTTGTGTCATCTCTAGGAGTACGCTGTCGGGAGACTATGACGGGTAGCTGCGAAAATCTCAAGATTTTTGACACGTTTTGCTACTAAACCTGGCTTACATTCCGCACATTTCGAGATCAGATAGGCTGAATATACTCATCGGTACGCACAAGCGGGGGAGATTATCCACAATGGCCATCATTATAACGACTTTTTTCAGCAACCCGCATACATAACTCTAACTACCCCGCATACTAGCTTATCAAGATGAAAGGGTTTGGGTTGTCCCCGAGATGTTTGAGCCCAACGTTGTAAACCAATAGCAGTTTTATCCGCCGTTGACACCCCCCAGCTTTGCATTCAATATATACCTCTCCACTCTCTCGTGAATCCCGTGTACCCTATTTAGAAATATCTATCAAGACTTTCTATCATTCTGGCGGCCAAGCTGGGCGCACGAATCATGTGGAGCATATCTCGGGGAAACTTTAAAGGGCCGGCTTGAATTCACGGCAATACCTCTGCGGATTGCACCGATGATGGCACGCAAATGCTAAAGTATGCCTCAAATATCTGTTCTCAAAATCCATATCCCGGGTGGACGTTCCCTATATTCGTCATCATGAATACCCACGCAACTCTTTTCCCAGACTCTAGAGATACCAGAACAAACATTTTGCATCATATATCGAGATAGCACTACCGTTACCCCATTGAATTCCCTAGAACGTACCTCAAGTCTTTGGTATGACAAACTCATTACACCGCCACCAGTGAAAACATGACCACCGGTGTCGCAAAACATCAGACCAAGCGGTATATACACAGAGCGTCACCGGTGTCAAAATCTCACAAACAGCTCTTTGGGACTTAATTTGGCATAAATAGCTTTTCACCAATTATGAATGGCATATCGCCAACGGTTAGAATCTCATTCGCACTGTGTTTTTTTTTTTTTTTTTTTTCGTTTAATTCATTAATTGCATCATTCGCGCTGTGTGAACACAGCACCAGATCCGAAGACAGAACGTGACAACCGGCGTACACGGCGATGAGCACAATCAAGACCACCTCTATCCCGCATCGCAGGACTAACCAAGAAAAGACCCGGTAGGGGGCAGTATCAACCAAGGAAAACCACAGATCTAGCTATCACACACTCTGCAAAAACGGGTGATCCTAAATGGACTAAGCTAAAAACAGGGATTCTCCATATCAAACGGCTACAATATTATCAACCTCCCTGCCGGTGATGAGTTTTTTCAACTTCCAGCTCCCGATAATATGGCATATAGCTCATTCCTTTGCAACCCCAAATTCACTCTTCCGTTGATGCAAATTCAGGCTCGTTCCACTGGATTACTTCTGATACTGTTTCATCCATGTCTGTATATATTCTATGTAATTGCCATAAAAATAAAATAGTCCTCAACTGAAGAGCGCGCCACCTCACCACCAGTAACCAACCAACCAAAGAGCTGCACAGCCCCAGAAATACCCATCAGCACAGCATCTCTAACACCGTGCCCATAACCCCAAGGCCCAAGCCAGAAATCCATCCCACATTCCGCAACCCGCAAACGAGTGATACTCCATGACGCACATCCGCACATCAATCATAATCATAACAATATACCTCAGAATTTCAATGCCTCCCTCTTATCAGGCCTACATGGGTCATCAGAACCATTTCCGGAAGCACGCAGTCTATTTCGGCATGCAATAACCAGTGCCGCACTGCACCGCAGCGTGGTGATAGTGGGGGGTATTATGATAATGACAGACGTATTCCATAGCTGTTATAAAACACGGCCACCTATAGGCTATAGCAATCACCAATGCTGTACATATTCTACAAACGGCATCATCTCGTCTGCTCACGTCCCCGTATCGGGATGGTCAGTGTTCGGCTACCCATGTGAAAAGGGGCGGCGGTGTTCCTTTCTCCTGGCGAGAGATGACGGAATTAATGACTGTAGCTAGCTCTGGAGATTGTTTGTCAGTGTCGAGCACTAGCAATATCGCTTATCTATGCATGAATATATTAAGCTCTCTATTTTGAGGTGCGGTCTTTGGCCGGTTGATTGCACGTGCAGCCGTGCTTAACCGTTTCTTTGCATGGAAGGGGGGAGGGAGGAGGTGAGGGATGGAGTGGGAGGGAGGATGGGAGATCAAGGAACGGAGACAGCTCTAGACCATCCAAACAGGACCCGTGGCTGCGTCCCTGAATTAGTGCATGTGTGTGTGTGTGTGTCCCTTTGTGTCAGCAGCCAAACCTTCTTTCAACCACAACCCGATAAATCTATCACCGGCCAACTCTCCCCCGAACCATCCTCCCTCCTCCTCCTCCTCCTCCTCCTCCTCCTCCTCCCTCCACCTGCCCTCCACAGCATCAAGTATTGCAAGAGATAATCCCCAGCGGCTATTGCACCATCCACCCCACAACCCTGATTGGCCCACAGCCAGAAGAACCAAGAACTTCCCAATTTCAGTGATAGACACTAGAATAAACACCCCAAAACATGATGATGACCCTGTAGATTTCCAAACCGTCGATAACAGCGCCCACTCACTTTCCCCATTCGCAGCCAATGCTCCGGTCTCAGCTTGCATCCCACCCAAACTAGACAGTGGGAGGTAGATACATGCATCTATCTACTCTCGCAAACCGCCACATCCCCACCCAGAACCCGCCAGCTTGAAACTCAGCACCCGACCAGATCAGACGAACCTCTCCAGCACGGCGCACATACCGAAAGTAGAATGTCGTCAACACAGCTAGGTACAGGGCTATAAACAAAGCACCGATAAGGTGCCACAGGAGAAGACCCACAGGACCGGTTACTTAGCATCTACCAAAAAACCTTGATTTTCTCGCTATAATTATAATCTCCTAGGGCGAGTTTAAATCGACCGCGCCAGATCGCTGACCGTAACGGCCAGCGCCGAGTCCCGCGGACAAGTGTGCGATCCGGGTTCATGATCTACAGGCACGCTCTCCCCTGCCACTGCTTATGTTGTGGGTTAGGGTTCGTGATCTGAGACGGAGATTATTGGGAAAAAGAAATATGTAATATTGCATATGTCCATATCGCACAGCGCATATACTAATCATCGCGGCGACGACACGACCACACATGCCCGACGTCCATCTATCTGCTCCACCTGAGCAGAGTAAACTTCCCTTCGTAGGTTCGCTTCTTCCCTACCCGGGCATGGCTATCAGTCAGCGCATCCACTCCATCTAGCATCGATCTTACGGTGCTACTATTCGCTAAAGTTTAAGAAAACGACCTACTCGATTAGCGATGCGGCACTCGACCCTGTTCCCTGAGCAGCGCCTGGAACGATTGCGCTTGTCACAAGAGACAGTGATGACAGAATAGTAATCCTAGCCATCAGCATTTTGTCTCGTGGCCGACAGCCGGGTGCAGAGAACACCGTTCGTCACTAGACGACAGACTTGTTCGTTCAAGGAGGTTCCTGCCTAGCAATGGCAAACCGAGGCAGACAGGTTCCCTTTTCTCCCGAGCGCGTCCGAAAGCAATGAAAACCCCCGAGAGGCTGACAGCCAGACATGCGCACGTAAAGAACGTCCATCCGACTCCCGAGACACGCCCATAACGTCATCGGCAGCACCCGGGAGCGCGCTCGAGTGGCTGTCTGCCGGGCCAGTGCTTCCCTATATGACCCTGCGCATATGGGATGGATGGGATTGACCTTCCTCAGTTCTTCTACCCCGCAATCAGGAAAAAGAAGGTGCCCGACCGTTGGCGCGTACATACCTCAGGACCGCATTATCAGGAGCGCCATCTCATCTGGGGGCGTGGGGTGCTGATAAGGTTTCTCGACTGGTGGGTGTGGTGCACCTTCTCTTTATAGCAGCTTCTATCCTCCTGCGCTGCTCGTGAATCGGATCTTCGATCGTGCAGAAACGCCGTGAAACAGTGAGGGGAAACGGAAGCCTCTTCGAAAGCCACACCGCCCCCGATATGTGATTGTGGTGGGTGCAGCAGGGATGCCCGTGGGAGTTGACAACCGACCGCATATGCCAAAAGCTTGCCTCTTTCCAAAACGACGATAGCGTTTGGGGGGGCGCCGCTGTAATTGGGCCACACGATACACCAATTCCATGTCCTATTGGCCCTGGTAAAGCCAAAATGCCTGTCGCGAGTTTCCCCTGAAACTACGTTTAATGCGGGTAGACTTGTGGCAGAGGCAATTTCAAAGTCTTGGTTAGCGCAGTGGCTTGACTGGAAACGTACTACTTCAACTGTTTTCTACAGAACAGTGTCAGTGATCACCGCGACTGCTGGGATTGCATCGCGAATTTGGAAACTTTCCCGAACAGAGAGTCTATGCAGAGTGGCTAGAGCTCTACCCCATCTCCCCGCTCCCTCTGCTTTCCCAGACGGACTGCCATCATCTCTGCCCGGGTTTAGTTCGCCTGCCTAAAATGGCCATGGTGAATGTTTACAACGACGGAGCAGGAGCTTGGCCGTAAGGCTCAGTTACAGTAGGGGGCAAGAAGAAGCTGTGCGGGAAGAAAAATTAAAGATTCGCAATCTCACGAACAATCACCACCCTCGGGACGCTCCGCAGAGCTCCCTTCTCGATACCTTCCAGCTTGAGAGTCATTCTGCCGCCATCAGTTCTCGTGGTCGAATTGCGACTGAATTCAAGGCTTCGTTCGATATAAATACCGAGATATCCGCCCCCCAAAGAGTAGTCTCCTTTCCCCCATCAGCCTTCGTCTCCAACAAAGCACATCTCTGATAGCAGCTTCTTCTGGCCTTTGATCCATCCGGTATTCCATTCTTCACAATGCAGTTTCTCACGAACCTCGCCCTTGCGGCCCTCGCGATCCTCCCCGTCTTTGGCAGCCCCGTCCCCTCGGTGCCCAAGGCCGGCGACATTGTCCCAGACTCGTACATTGTGGTTCTCAACGAGGGTGTCTCTGATGCCGCCTTCCAGGCCCACACCAGCTGGGCTTCGAGCGTCAACGCTGCGTCCATGAAGAAGCGTGGACTCGAGCCCCGCGCCGAGACCTTTGACTACACCTACACTCTGGGGAGCTTAAAGGGCTACGCCGGTACCTTTGACAAGGAGACCATCGACCAGATTGCCACTCGCTCCGAGGTGGCCTACATCGAGCCCAACGCGGTCGTCGTTGCCAGTGCCATTGTAAGTTTCCAATATGATATCGATCCTGATTATATATTGAACCGTAGCTAACCCGGCAACAGACCACCCAGTCTCCCATCTCCTCGTGGGGTCTTGGCTCCGTCTCGCACAAGTCCGGCACCGGCTCCAACTACATCTATGATAGCAGCGCAGGCTCCGGCGTCTATGCCTACGTCGTCGACACCGGTGTCCTGACCACCCACAACGACTTTGGTGGCCGCGCCGTCTGGGGCTACAACGCCGTCTCCGGATCCAGCAACACCGACGCCAACGGCCACGGAACCCACGTCGCTGGAACCATTGCCGGCACCACCTATGGAATCGCAAAGAAGGCCACCATCATTGCCGTCAAGGTCCTTGGAGACGACGGTTCCGGCACCAACGCCGGTGTCATTGCCGGCATCAACTGGGTCGCCTCCAACGCCCAGAGCAACGGAAGAACCACAAAGTCCGGTAAGTATACCCATCCATATAGAAGGCGAGAGATACAGGAGACTGACACTGGCCCCCGCCAGTCGCCAACATGAGTCTCGGAGGCTCCTACTCTGCCGCCGTCAACAGCGCCGTCAACAACGCCGTCGCCGCAGGAATCACCTTTGCCGTCGCCGCCGGAAACGACAACGCCAACGCCGCAAACTACTCCCCCGCCTCCGCTGCCAGCGCGCTCACTGTCGGCGCCATCACCTCGTCCCTCGTCCGTGCCTCGTACAGCAACTACGGTTCTGCCCTCGACATCTTTGCCCCCGGCTCCAGCATCACCTCCACCTGGATTGGCAGCAACTCGGCCACCAACACCATCTCGGGCACCTCCATGGCCTCTCCCCACGTTGCCGGGGTCGCCGCGTACCTGATTGGCCTCGAGGGCCTGTCCACCCCCGCCGCCGTCCGCGCCCGCATCATCGCCCTTGCAGGATCGGGACTCGTTACCAGCCCCGGCACGGGCAGCCCCAACTACCTCCTCTACAATGGAAACGGTGCGTAAATGAACTCCCCCAGGCTACCGGATCCGGATGGACGACCCTCCCAGATGGCCCAGGACTTTCCTTTCCTTCTCTTCTTCCTTTTTTGCTTCTTCTCTCTGTGTTTTTTGGACGATGGTGGATATGGCTGGACCTGGACTTACTGGAATGTTTCTGCGGCGGGGGGTAGATGCGGGAAATGCAAAGAGTGGGTCATGTATTCTGTGCAGTGATACGCTTGGAGGACTCGAGCTGTGGTGTGGCTGAAATAAAAAAGTGTCTCTTCTGATGTGGATGGTGCGAGTGATTGTGTGTGATGCGGTGTGATGTGAGTGGCTGCGGTGTTGTGATGAGTGTGTGTGTGAAGACGAGTGGAAGTGGATGGATGGCTGTCAGGTGCGCGTTGCAGTGTGCTGGTACCCGTGGAACGCTGCGTGTGTGTATATATCTGTGATCAGGAGTAGTAGACATCTCTCTCAAGCCGCAGAGCTACATGTATGTAACTCTGCATATGAGCCACACACCGCCACACTACAGACCCAACAAGCAACCTCAAGTCACGGCATCCACCCAATTCCCGACTAAGACAACAGATGACCCAAACACGGCCATGTAGTCACATCCAGCTAGATCAGAGCTTCTGGGACCTGCGAATACGACGCTCACTCTCACTCTCACTGCAGGTTGGTCAGGGTTTGGGTTTCTTTCTAGCCAGGCAGCCAGACTACTACAGGAGGGATGGTGAGAATATACCAGCCATGCCTGGCAGATGACATAGAGACGAAACATATTACTTCTAGCTAACCATGGTGTGGTAATATAGCGGGTTCGGAGGGCCAAGCACACGCCTACCGTCGTGGGTTTAGCTTACACGTCTCTATTCCGGTGGGTGTGTATATATCAAGATGCGTGCACGTGGTCTACATGTTGCTGTTCGTAGTCCCTGGGACACCACCTCCCGCCAAACCCTTCCCGCCCAACTACCCAACCCTACCACACCCCTTCTCAGAGCATACATGACACCCACTCGGAAGTTCCACGTCTCTAGTACTAGTGCCCACCAGCAGCATAACGCCCAGTCACCGCCACACACTCAACTCGCGGCTATCTCGGCCGGAGACCTTTTTTTGTTTGATTTTCTCTCCTTCCGTGCAGGTAGCGCATCCATACTCGGACACCGCACCGTTTCTGGCAGCGGTCGGCGTTGCAGCGGGGGTCTTGGCGATGCTGTTTGGATATATGTGGGTCTTGGCAATAAGACCTGCCTATTGCCAGGGTTTTGGATACCGGTGGGGTGAAGTGTGCTGGGGCCGGTGGACATCTGGAGCGGGCGAGTGGGTGCAGTGCGAGAAGGTGCTAGTGGGTCATGAGGTATCACTCGGTCGAGGACTGCCCCTTGGTGTCGTTGAAAAAAGACTTTCTGTGTATAGCGTAAAGCTAACAGTCGGGGGGGTGGGTTCTTGCTATCATTATCATTTGACTGATCCCGCAGCGAATCACACGCATCATTAGCAACACATTCATTTATAGCTCCGCTTGAAATGTTCAGCACGGGCTTACTCTGACCGTAGGATTTTGCACCAGCGCAAACAGGCCGAAACCACTAACGCATCCATTCCCGGCTCACCCGTATCCTTTATCTACGTTTAGAACGAACTAGGCACGACGCCCCTAGACTCCGACCATCCCTCCCACGAGGGCGGTGGCCGTAACCATACCCTGAAGGAAGGCTATGGATTAGTTTCTAGAAGTGTCTCCTATCTCGCAGTCGCAAAACTCGCATCGCTGGTGCAATCCTCGATTTCTCCTCGCTCGCAAGGAGTAATACCTATGTATTCTCATATTACTCTCATTATTTGAAATACCGATATATTGGTATGGGTTAGGGTTGTTGGTCCACCTGGAGCAGGTACATAGCCCACCAGGTAGCGCTCGCCTAGTTCATCAGTGTCAATCATGATATATCCCCAAATGCCGAAAGCCCAGACAAAGTAGCATTTCTAGGAACAACCTTGACGCCTGTAAGCCCATCCGTTTCCCACTACTTCGGCTTCATAGGTGTCATAAAACAACGGTTGATTTCCAAAGCAGCTACTTCTATGTGTCCAGGTAGCCCGTCCCCTTGATACATATAGCCTGACACTGTAAAATCTTATCCGTGTTGGGTGTCTGTTGTTCCGAAATCTCGATCACAGATAATCACTCGCTGTCGCTGCTGCCCGGCTGTGGGGGCCATGCACGAGAACCCTTACCCATGTCACTCTGGACCCGAAATGCCAAGTTGTAGACCAACTAAGCTTCTCCAGTGTCGCACCGAACACGTGCACATCGCTACACCATAGAGCTGTAAGCTTCGATCTTCTACTTAGTTCAGTTGGCAAGCCCCCAAGCAGCCACGAAAATCCGGGCAGATTGGGGGCTTGCTTCTTTTTGCCGCCCTTCACACTACCACCCTACGCACAATCACAGCCCATCACTCACCCTCCGTTATATATGTTGGCATTGTTCTCATTAATTAACAAGTTATAAATAAAGCCCACTCGAAAGAACTGCACTCTAAGGATGTTTATGTCTTCATTTCTTCCTTCGAAAGGAAAAGTGATTGGTATATCCTATACACAACAAAGAAAGTCCGATGCACTTCTACCTTCCCGTCCCACTATATTACAAAACCACACTGATAATCAAATCCGTCCTTGCATCTCGGCGTCATCTTCCCGTAACCCACACAAACTTATCATCATCTGTACTTTATACAATCCATGATCAAAGAAAGAGACTCATGGAGATGCGTACGAAACCACAAAGGGAAAAAAAAGAGAAAATAACAATGATCGCCAAATTTTGACCAGGTCTAACAAGACTCATGCCGACAGCCACAACCTCGCTCCAAAACCCCTGACATTACCCAAAAAGAAAAATAAGAAATAAATGAAACTCCCCCACACACTTGGCTCATACTGATTCATTTACGCGTATGCCTTGTTTCCAGCAACTCGCTCGTCATGTTGAGCCTCGGCGAAGACACCGGCGGCGATGGCCTGTTGCTCTTTCGAGACGTCGACAGCCTCGTTCCTGCTTGCAAGACCATGGGGAACCCATTCTATATCATGTTAGCATTGTTTTTTTGATTTGATTATCTAGAATAAATTCGACTTACTGCTAGAGTTCCAAGGGTTGACATTAGTGTCGTTGTACATGTCCTCGACCTGTTCCAATGAAAGGCTGCTGCTCTCGTAGAGGAAGAAGTACACGATAACGGCAGCCAAAAAGTTACATCCGGCAAAGACGTATCCGTATCTGTATCCAATAGCCTTGGTGATGAATGGTGTGAAGAAGGTCAACAAAAAGTTCCACATCCAGTTACCGGTTGTTGCGATGGCGCTGGAGTGAGATCTGGTGCGAAGAGGGTACATTTCTCCGACACAGACCCAGGTACCGGGTCCCCAGGTCGAGGCGAATGAAGCGATGAACATGCAAGCGCAGAGAATAAGAACACCACCGATAGATTTTTCAGAGGGATCCTTCTCGCTACCAATGGCACCAAAAATCAAAAGCCAAGCCATCTGCCAAAGAGCACCGCCGATAAGGGTCTTGCGGCGTCCGAACTTCTCAATAAACCACAAACCAGGGAATGTACAGACGACGTTGACGGCACCGAGAATAATCTGAGTGGCGAAGGAGTTGGAGATTCCGACAGACTTGAAGATACTCGCACCTATATTGTAATCAGCTTTGAACTGTTTCATTCATTTGATATATAAATTGGGCATACCATAGTAGAAGAAGTAGTTGGCTCCGGTAAGCTGCTGGCAAACCATCAACATGAAACCGAGCAGAGTCCGGTAAAGAGCCTTGCCCTTGGGATCGAAACTGGAGAAGAAACTGGCTTTGCCGGCGGCAGCTGCCTCACGGACAAGAGCTTCGATATCCTGGTACTCGCCCTCGATAAAACCCTTCTTGTCCCTGTTCTTTGCACCGGCGATGAAGCGGAGAGCCGCAAGACACTCCTCGTTCTTGTCGTTTGCAAGAAGCCATCTGGGGGATTCGGGAAGGAAAAACATTCTATCACAGGTTAGACACAATTCAGACAGGAAGAATGATTGACAAGATTTCTTACCCAACCATAAGGGAACTGGCCCAAAAGTAACCGATCGCAAGAGGTCCCCTCCACTCGCCGCTGTTGCTGACACGAGAAGTACCCAAGTTGACACAGTATGAAGTCAAGAGACCACAAGTGACAAAGAGCTGATAACTGGCAACCATCGCACCACGGACCTGTTTAGGGACCGTTTCAGACACGTACACAGGAACAAGTGCTGGAAGATGTTAGCTTTATCCCTATGGAATCAATTTGGACTGCTTGAGGGGGCATACATGAAAGTGCACCGATGGCAATACCACTGAAAACACGACCGATGATAATTTGATACCACGCATGCTGAGCTGAGATGGAAATAGTATTTCCAATAAAGTAGACGAAAACAATACCAATCATAGCCTTCTTTCTTCCGAATGAGTTTCCAAGAGGACCAGCAATCAAAGCACCGATGAGAGCACCGATTGAGAGCATTCCCACAATGAGACCCTCTCGAGTCTGACTCCAGGCATAAACACCCAAACCGCGGTCCTCGGCGAAACGTTTCATGAAATCCTCCATGATGATGAAACCAGAGACTTGACCAGTGTCGGCACCGAAGAGAAAGCCTCCCATGGAGGCAACAAGGCCGAGAATCATAATGGGCCCGGAGACCACAGATCTGATCTCATCAAGACGAGAAGTAGCTACAGCAGACATTGTTTGTGATGTTGATAGGAATTGAGGATGAATAGAGGTTGAGGATACGCGGGGAGAATAGAGTATTTAAAGAAAAAAAAGATGGAGAAGAAGAATGTGGGTTAATAGGTCCAGGGTGGGGGGGGGGGGGTGACCCACGGGGAAACTTACAGTAGGACCACAATTCACTAGGGACCCTGGCCAATGGTGGGGTGACGTACCAAAGTGGATAGGTAGTGGGAAAAAAAGGTCAAGTGGGAAAATTGGGAAAAATGAAACAGCAGACAATTCCTGGTCCCGAGAGGCCGAAAGCTAGTTTGTGACATAGAGACCAGACCAAGAAGCTAGGGAGATGCCTACATCCTTTGAGACATCCAAACCTAACGGTGAACATGATCATGACTGCAATGATGATGACGATGATGGCAAGAGATATTTTCAGCTCTTGAATTAATTCGGGAATTGATTTAATCTACTGAAACAGAAGTACATACCAGGATTTACGCCTACACCGAGAATTGTATCCACGAACGCCCCGCCAAATAATACACGTCTCCTCAGTCACGTCGTGACGCTTGGGATCTTCTTAATTTTCTTTTTCTTTTTCCCCACAGTACTTTCCCCATGCAACATAATCCCTTAATTTTGCTTTCTGTCCCTTTGTTCATCTCTAGTCCCGTTGAACCTGCATTCAATTCACCCGTCCTAAAAGACCACACTATCTTACCCACAGATGTCAAGAAATTAAGATGCTTTACCCATTGTAACAAACGCAGTTCTACGAGGGGAAGAATTGGTGGCGATTAAGCTGTGGAACGGACATACGAGGTGGGGACGAGATCTGGAGGGGATGAAGTGGGATGTATGGATGCAAGAGGTTGGCCCCTCCGGTTGATGTCGAGATGTCGAGTGACGAAGTGGGTCCGGACAAGGCACCGACACGGAACAAATGCTGTCGGAGGCACAATAATCCGATCCGCCTGCCGACAGCGCCTCCCACGTCACTTTGAATTTGAGATTGATCTCCGCCAAGCCCAGACCTCCGATCCTAGCTGAAAACCTCACGGAAAAATATTAACGAGGATTCGGTCTCGGCATCAAGCCTTTCATCAAAACTCTTGTCGATGTGAACTCCGTAGTCCATATCCGATGGCCCCCGAGACAGAATGTAGTCTTCGGCCGGCATGCAACAACATCAAAGCAAAACGAATGTACAGCAATTCGAACCCCTCCGTACGGCCGTAACACATCGATAGATCTAGAAGTAATATCCTATGCCGCCTCTACCCCTCCAAGAAAAAGATTCCAATTCACTGATTACTATACTACATCTGATTCACTCCTACTATCTACATCAAGTTGTGGTCACTGGCCCGGCCGGTTGCTGACTGCGCTTAGTGAAAGAGTGGCCATGACATGAGCTTTTTCAACCTCCTCCAAAACAAAATGCAGATCTTTTCTATTCTTCAACACACCTATGCGGCGACTAGCCCAAACAAATCGCCCTAACCAAACAAAAATGTTTTATCCGAAAAAAAAAAGTGGCCTGTAACTGATCCATAGGGCAGCATTTCGCGAACTTCCTTACGATCCCGTTAAGATTAGTTTGAGATGGAAGGCTACTACAGCTACTGTACTCTACCTACATACATGGCCCCTGGTATAAAATAATTCATCCGTCACCATCTTTCGCCTTCGATATTGTCTCCTGTCTTGAATCACGGAATCTTCAGGCTCAATCATCAAGCATGCGGTGATTTTTTGTATTCTCCCTATCAGTTTGGCCGATCCCAGTCGTACCATATCACGTCTCCGGGGATTTCAGACGGATGCATGCAAACCAACCTGCAAGAAAGCTACGGCGAGATCCCGGCCGGCATGTATGTAGCGCGCTGCGTGGTGTGCGGTACCTTTTTCCGATCGATCAGTCACCACCCGTCGTTCGCACTGGCTTCCGAGCCATGCTACCCCTAACCCATAGCGACTAAACACTTCTTGGCATTTAAACCCTAAGTTGTTCCGAGATGCCGCTAGAACACCGGCCAAAGGACCGCAGCTTCCCCTGGTTCAACCACGGAACTCTTTTCAACAACGATATGAAAGGGAACAAGTCTAGGGAGAGAGAAATATCACTTCACACGCTACGAAGGTGAATCTAGTGGGTCTCCGTGAGATTTGATCCAATGATAATTTTCAATTGAAAATTCCATCACGTCAGAGAACTCGCCGGTTTGCCGGTAACGTCTCGATACCTAGGCTCCAGGACTTGGAATCTTCAGGGTTCTCTATGCCGCGGTATTTCGAGGATTAAATGGTAGAAGGGTGAAGAAGAAAAGTAAAAAAAAAAAAAACAAGATAGTGGAAAACAAAACGGAATCTAATCAAACGGATTTTTTTTTTCTCATTTCGCCGGAACCCTCATCATCCGACTGAAAAAAAAAATAAAAAATCTTCAAAATCGAGGTTTCAAAACAATCAGCTCATGGAATGGACTAAATCATCTGCCCAAATTTCGTTACATCTCCCGAATACGTACAGAGAAAATAGTAGCAACAGGGCCCTATCCTCCTACTGGATGATCCACCACGTTACTTCCAGGTACTTGCCAGCCAATCATTTACCTTCTCCTGTACAGCTCCACTCAAGCGTCATGCGCGGTTAGTCCAACCCGTTGGAAATAATAACTCCGATACAAATTCACCGACAGATCCGACCCCTGTCTCTATCTAACCCTACGGTTCCTTGCAGAACGCACCGGGATGGAAAAACTTATCCCCGCTCTTTCACATCACTATACCCAAAACGTAGCTATCGGGCAACAACCTCCACATTTCTTTGAGTAAAAGAGTTGAGCCCCATTTCTTTGCCCATAGGTTGCATTCTCTCCACTCTTTCTTAGTCCCCTGGGGAAATCTTCTTTGGTTTTCCCCAGTGAGGGGGATAGCTACGTGCTTCAGGCGCGGGGAAGCGGGGTTTAGACGATTCATTGAATGACCGAATGAGCTGTTGTCGGAGCAGCTTTTAGAGGAAGGAACGGATCAAATGAATCACGTACTACGGAACGGAAAAATTCATCTCATTCTCCCTATCGGCATGTTAAAATGTCGGATAATTTATTTGTTACTTTTTCACCCACAAGGGAGAGCGGTTCGTTTGGCACAATGAACGGTCACAGATTATCACTCGATCTTGAGACAACCACAACACGACGTGTACTACCGCTTTAGACCCGGACACAAGAGCGTAATTAACTCAAGAGCACTGGCCACTCATGAACCACCTATGAAAGCCGAACCCCGGCATACAGGACACTCCCTATTAACCATACTCCCGCATAGACCTGGTCCACGCAAACAATCAACTGAGGACAAGATCTGTATTCTGCATTTTTCCTCCGCGGATGTCAATTCAATTGATCTTTAACAATGGGATTCACGTGACTTTTACTTCTCCCAGTCAAGTACATCATAGGATTGCAATGGTATTTGCCGCTTCATCCAAAATTAGGATATTCTTAGGAATTGACATTTCGAGCTTTGTGAAATTGCAAGCTTATATTTCATCCGGATGCAAATGTCTCGGATAAAGCCGAGCACGTGAGTTGAAATTTGGTGTTTAAGTTGTAGCTAGGCTACATGTAAGCACATACCAATGAGGTCACAGAATAGCACGCGTTTACATCACCCGTTCTGTGCCATACATATCTGGGGACGGACCCTGCCCTTAAGTCACACGGACTATAAACCAGGAAAGGCACTGAACGACCTACGAAATAGGAGAGTTCTAAATAGTTGTTAGTGCTCTTTTCCTAGCTATGTTCTGGGACCTGTCAAGCCAGAGTGGTTCCTTCAACACGAAAGAATTGTCAAGTATTGGATATTCGATGCGGCCTTGTTATGCAAATTGCAACCTAGCGAATATACTTCAATCCCCCTTCCCCCCGATTTCCCCGAGATACAAGCAGTAATAAAACAAGACTTAGACTACTTTGTTATGAGGAAACGGTGAAAACGGTTCCAAGCTTTGAGTATGGGGACCGGAAATCGGAAATGAACTTCAGCATCAATACCCAGAATCAATTCGCGCTGTGTCGGTCGCCGCTGGTCACCATAAGCTCTTTACAGCGTACAATATCTTAGATTATCTCCAAAGCGCGCGAGCCACACGTATTCATCATCAATACTCCATTAGTACAAGCTCGGGCGATCTATTAGACGCTTCGACTTCACCACTTTGTCGGTTGCACGCGGGCTCGCGCAGGTCTGCAGATACAAATATTTATCGAGATTAAAAACCAATACCCCGCGGGGAAGCTGTTTTGTAGGTACTCGTAAATCCATACATACAACGCCAGAGAGAGAGGGATGTAATAAATAATTGATAACCGAATTTTCCAGAGACCAACTTGTCAAATTTCTTCATGGGGAACATACGTGTACCCAGTGTGTCAGAATTAAAATGATGTATATCTTGATCGAGCTTGTTTCCATATCTTTTTTGTCGCGGTGTAATATATAGATATAGTGGCCACCTGTGATACTTATGTATGTTCTTAGGCATAAAAAAGTCCTTAGGCATAAAAAAATACCCCGTACCCAGAATCCGAATTTTATAAGTGCGCTTATGAAAGCCAAATTGTGCGTGTGAGTCCCCCTCCTTAATCAAGGGTCAAGAATCACGTCATTTCAGAACAATATAGGGACAGACGATCCTATTATTTCTATCTTCTGGCCTGTTTATGTAATGTTTCCATTAATAAATCTATTACTTTTCAATATTATTAATTGATCCATGCCGATCACCCGGAGACCTGGTCGTTGATCAAAAGATAATCTTGATCTAATCTGATGGATTATACGATCAAGATCAAACGGAGTGATATCGTATGAAGCAGGTCTAATCTTCTGTTGGGAGGTTTACATTTTCGACATATAAACTCTCACCAGATGTTGAGACTAACCGATTGATAGCTTTAATGATGAACGCCCCGGGGATTCAAGACCTCCGAACTTGATAGGAAA